GTGTGCTGTTAAACCTTTGTGCTTTAAGTCACAGGCAATGAAACACTCTTGTATATAACCAAGTAACACAGTTTATTTATAACTTCTGGCTCCAATGCTTGTGGTTACATTTGTGTTTTGTTGCAATCTTGAGGCTTACAGTCAGTATCATTTACTTGGTTTACTTTTATGAATAAACTTTCAATGTTTCACATTCACAAACATGTTACTTGCTTTACACACTCTTGGCTGAATTATATTCTGACTCAGGCAACACTATCCTTCTTTATGTTCCTTAAAACTCGAGCTCTATTTAACTAACTGCTTCTCTATATCAGAAGTCTTTAACACATCTTTATAACTGCTTATTTCTAACAGGCACTCAAAAACCAACTCTCCTCTTCACACACAGATTCCTGTCATTTTCAAACTCTCTCACTCTAACTGCCTCTTTCAGAACCTTGGCTCCGCCCCTTTGGAATGTTCAGCTTTCTCTCTCCAACTGTCATTTTGGGCCTAGCAGCCTTTTCAAGTCCTGGGCCTACGCTAATCTGCATATGACCAATCGGCTTCACATATGCAAATGAATCCTATCTCTGCTGTTGCTACCCTGTCTGTACCTATTCTTTCCTATCTGTCACATGTAAACATAGAGCTATACACCAAAACTTTAACACAGAGTAGCAATTTCACTACAAGTAGCAATTTATTGTATGCGGATTCTTCCAAAATGCCATAACTCTGTTTTGTGGGGTGTGTTTTGTTTTTAGCATCATCAACAGGAAGCAACAGGTGATACGGTGCTGAACCAGCCAGAGTTCATCCGGGTCCGGGAAAACCTACGAAGGACACAATGCATGCAGGATCCCCCTCCCCAGCATGAAACCTCTTCCTCTACATCCAATCCGTTCCTCCGGTCTCATCTCATCAGCAGAAAGCTGTTAAGGATCCTGACTTCACAGTCCGACGGAGCCCTGGAGGATGAAACCCCAATGCTTCAAGGCTCCCCAGAAGCCTCGGCCCTGTCTCAGGATTCGCTTGCTGACACATGACCCTCTTTCCCACTCTCTTTTGACATGCATTCATGGTGTGTATCTGTAAACACAGATACATTCTGATTCCCCAGATTTGGATAGCAAACCGGAACGGATCTTCAGTTTCTACTATCCTCCATTTGAACCCACTCGGCTGGGACAATCTGAAAAGAAACATGTAGGCATGGTGCAGACCCAATTTGGGTCCCATTTCTCTCCCTAATAAAAATATCCCATACACAGCACATTGCCTTTTTATTACTTTTCACAATGGTTTTTCATAGAATCATAGAGTTGGAAGAGACCTCATGGGCCATCCAGTCCAACCCCCTGCCAAGAAGCAGGA